AGGGAAGAAGATATTATTTATAATGAGACATTAAATCAAAATGTCCGCAAAACAGAAGTGGCAAACTTAATAGCATGTGCAACGCTATCTCTTTGGTACGACGATGCGATTCTGTGGTCAAGAGAAGGATTTATTACATTTCTTGCAGCACATATTTTGGATCAGGTTCTTTTAATATTTTTACTATTAGTATACTACAGCTTCAGTCTTTATAATAGAAACGACCAAATGTTAGCAGCTATTAGCAGTGCTAAATACATGTTGTCAATTCAAATACATTTCTCGACTTACATATATTTACTCGATCATGTCGTGCTACTTTACAGATTAGCGCAACTTATCGCATAATGGACCTATTTGTCGTTCAAATATACAGAGACTCTTTACGTTTCGATACTCTTCCTATAGATTCTCTTCCTATAGATTCTCTTGCACATACCGCAAACATCTCTACAGTGCATTCATTTCGATCATCCTTTAATTATATCAAATGTAAGTTTAAGTAAATGTAACTAAAATATTACTTATAATTAAAGTAAATATAATTTTAAAATATTGATAATTGTACGTAAATTCGTAAATTTTATAATAGAGTATAAGAAAATTTAACTATAAATCAATTAAAGCACCACTTGTTTACACATAAATTTATTATAAGTATATTAAGAGCAAAAATTAATTATTTAAATACTAATTACTGTTATGTTAATAATAATTAATACTATATTAATAATAAAAGGAAATATTTCAAATTACTTAACAAGTATTTTATAATTTGAATTGTCACAGCATTCATTATATGGCGTATGTTATATCATATAACATCTGATGATGTGTTTTGGACTGGTATCAACACGTATATAAACATACAGTGAGTAATATCTTTTTATTTGATCCAATAGTAATAATAATGACGGAAAAAATGTGAACAGTAAAGTAGATGATATGCTTTAAGTTCTACTTTTCAAAAACATCGAAATTAATCGTTTTAAATTTATCGGCTACTTTTAGTTACTCGTTACATAAAGAATTTTAAAAACATATTGTGGAATTATTATTAATAGTAAATAATGTAATTTTGTAATGGATAATTGTTAATACAGAAATACGACGTATACTAATAATTTATCTACCATCACACTATTTTGGATCGCTATGGAAAGTGCTCGAAATGTAACAGATAACTCTAACCTTAATATGAAGGATGTAATCGATATTTCAATGGAAAGACTTTGTCCTGTAGTGAACGTGACGCAAACGACAGATTTTGATTTTATTCACGTAACAGTTTTATGTGCTAATTCATCTGTTTATAATAAATTATTTACTGACAGGAAACAATATCGACATATGACATATACGACGAAATTAGTCATGAACTTTGATACATCAGATAACAAAAGTTATTTTTGGCTACCTATAATATCCAATTATACATTTGATATAATTAATTTAATTGACTGGCATGGCGAGAATTGGATCATATTCAATTTACAACAAGCTGGTAAATATAAAACAGTAACTTTATTCTACTGTTTTTACTTTCTACAATTGACGTTTCATTATTCGATATTTGATTATTAGAAATATGTTTTTTATTTACAAATTAGTAATATTTGTAGGCATTAGTCAAAATTGATAAAAATATGTTAATATATTATATGTGTAACCACAATTAAACTTAACGTTTCGATCAATGTTGATTCATAGCTTACATCTTTGAAATTAATTCATTATTAATTTAAAGTAACTTTGTAACTAATTATTCGCAATAGACGTGTCTTCAACTGATTTTTTAAATATTTTGTTAAAAAATTAATTTTTTGAAAACGTTTGGCAGAAAATAATCATATTTGCAAGCATTTCTTGATAAATTTGAAAAAAAAACACTAATAATAAAAATATTATTTTTGTGTTATAGGGTACTATCGTGTCAATTATGATTCAGAAAACTGGGCAAACCTTGGATATTATTTGTCTCATATAAGTTATACCAATATACATGTTCTCAATCGAGCCCAAATTGTCGATGACGCGTTTTATTTTTTGATGCAAGGGCAACTCGGTTTTACCATGTTTTTTAAGATTACAAGATTTCTATTTAATGAAACAGATTATGTAGCATGGTATCCTATGATTAAAGCTGTTGAGCACATGTGGTGTGTCTGGCCTATTGATGATTTTTCAGTTACAAAGGTAAATTCAAACAAGAGTAAACTGTTTTGAAAAAATAATTTATGATATTAAAGCACTGTATATAAAATTAATTAAAATAAATATGTATATGTGTGTAAATATACTTATATCATGTTTTTCAAAAATAGCTATAAATTTAATGTTTCTATTAATTAATAATTTTTAGAAGAAAATCATGGCAATGTTCAATAAACTTCTGTGTAATATAGGATACGATGATATATTTTACGCAAATGATTTTATTACATATCTAAGAGAAGAAGCGGTAAGATGGTCATGTGTTTTTGGTGATTTAGACTGCAAAGGAAATGCCACTTTTGAATTAAATAAATATCTTCAAAGATCTGTACAAGACATGTAAGTTATTTTATAAGCACGATATTTGTATCAACAAATTGTATGGCATTATTGTTTCATGCTAAATAGATTATATAAATATTAAATTATGAAATATTGTAATTAAATATTTGTATAGAATATTTTTTTTCTCCCGGTAATGCAGGCTTTTGATACGGAAAGACTGGATATACTGTAATGGTTTAATGGGAGCAAGCTACAGTGTTTGGTTGAATGTATATGAAAAATTTAACAAAACACGCCATAATACACTTTTACAATACTTAGTTTGCTCTGAAGATCTTATTATTATTTGGAATTATTTGTTAAGAATAAGGGAAAATATTTTTCGATTGAAACGCAATGAGCGTGCTTATATAATGCTCCTTATCGTCGCAAGACATGCAAAAAATAAAATAATGTTGCAGGATATACTCGAAGTTTTAAAAGACTTTGAATTCAGTTCAAAAAAGTAATTATATTTTTATTTTTAACTATATTTTCATATTTATGAATATTTATTATATTTGTCAAATATATTACTTTGCTTTTGTAGGGAAGTTGACCAAATTGCCATATTAATTGTTATTATAACGCATGAGCGTTTCTCTACTACAGGGCGATTGTCTAAGGTATATTTTCCTATATGCGTATAACACTACTTGGTTCTATTATATTGAGCTTATTTATGTTTAAATTGTATTATACTCAACATCCCTATACATATCTGAATGCACTTAACATAACAAATTATGATCTTTGAAACTGTAGTAGAAGAAAAATTTATATTTATTTATATTGGCTGTTGTATTTTTAAATAATCTGTTCTAGATAACTGACTTCGTGAAAAGTAGATTTAATGAAGCGCCACAAGTTCAAGATGCAGTTAAAAAAAAAATACAAAAACGAATATCGGAATACGCTAAGCAAATCAGAAACTACGGCCGCATTCGCTATTCTTAAAATTAGTGAAAGTAATAGGCAAACAATTGAATCCCTGGAAGACAATAATTTTACTTGCACTCATATGCATTCCCGAGAAAAAATGGTGTAATATGGTCAGATGTAAATATATATAATTAGTTATGAAAAGATCTAATAACATATGTAATTTTATATAATCATATAAAATTCAGATTTTTTCATAACTAATGATATATATTTACATCTGACCAATTATACCATTTTTTCTCGGGTTTATATATAAATAATTTTGTAATCCTGTTCTTATTATTGTATTAAATATTATTTTTCAATTCTAAATAATTTTTTGTTCCAATTACTTTTAATATTTCATTTATTTAATATTTATATACGTAAATATAAATATTTAATTAATTTATTATCTCTAGTATTGTATATGTTTTGTATGTTTGTTATTCCTTTATTAGGTTTTTCTTTTAAACATAAAAATTTTATAATATTTTATTATTTTTAACGTTATGCTATCTTTTGTAATAAATCTTAATAACTGATTTTTTTTAAAACGTAACTATCTCCTTCTTTCATAGCAATATAAAACATTTATAATATAAAATAAATAGATTATGTTCAAAAAAACATTAAATTTTAACATGTACATAATTCTAAAAATTATTTACTTTAAAAGTATAACTTTCCACACATTTCCTGTAACAATAATTAAAAACAATGTAGAAATTTACTTTTTATATTATTTAATATATATTATATTATACTATATACTTATATTATTTAATATACTTTTTATATTCTATGCACAATTTTATTTGATTAGACATCAACAGTCATTCGTTTCTCCGTTGTTTGATAGAATGTTTATTGCCGCGTAACCTCTTAGAAAAAAATTATTTACATCGCATAATGTATATATTATGTTAACTGCCAATATTTCTCTCAGTGTTCAGTGATTTCTCGAAACAGTAAGATAACGATTAATTTTATATAATACATCTTTAGCACTCGCAATTCAAGACGGTGCTAACAGTACTATCGTTACAAATTGTTAATTGTTACAAAGTACTGTAATTTAAATTTTCACATCATTTTAACATATTTAGGTAAGTTACTGCAGGTGAAATATTTCTCATTAAAATCATATAGCACAACAAATACCGTTTTATATTGTTAAAAACATATTCTTCGGTGCTAACATACATCTTTCACTATTTGTTTAATTTTTTTTTTTTTAATTTATACTACGTGAACGGTGGCAAATTTAAGAAAAAAGGCCCGATCCGCAAACGTTACAAGGGGCCCATTTTTATATAGGTCCGTTATTGACACGTGTTAACGTGTTCGCGTATTTTAACGAATCTCGATTATGTTGAATCTGATGACTAATGATTAAATTCGCTCTCGAAATTTCTGTCTTTCCTATTTGCGGCTTTTAAAATTTGTCGCCTACTTCAAATGAAACCAATTTCAACCTGAAAATGAAACGTAGCGAGTTGATACTTTTCATTGCGTTTATGTTCTTTGATAGTAGATTTAAGAGTACCGTAGTCTATTTCACGATTTTACGCGTTACACGCCGCCCCGGGTGACATTAAATGTTAATAAATAATTTTTTTTATGCCGGTCCTTTTCGCGCCGGGGCAGCGGGGGTCCGATCTACAAATGTAGACCGTTAAATCCGTGACTGTACATAAACTCAGATAAATATAACAATTAGATATCAATTGTTTCAATGTAAAATTTTTGAATTAAATACATGTCATATGTTAAAAATCAATCACTTCGATATTTACAAAATTTATTGAAAAGATCGATTGTATTTTTTTAAACTTAGTGTATATACATAGTTGGAGTAAAAAGTTATTTAACTATTTCCAATATTGGTAAGACGTAATTCTTTATGAAATTAAACATTGTTATTTTTATTTCTGGTGTTTTAAATATTATATGAATTTTATATAATTTTAACTTTTTTAGTTTTATATATAAAAAAAACTTTTCAATAAATTATGTTGCTCTTAACATTTTATGCATGTAACCTCTCGTATTTAAAATTTTATTTCTTTTATCACTATTATCAAAAGTAATTCTTTTTCTCCTTCAGCCAATTTTCATGAAAATCCTACATCGATTTAGTATGATTAATTGAAATAGTTGTTATATAATCTTTATTTTTCTTATATTAAAATTAAACAGAATGTGTGTATGTTGCAAATGCACGTGCTTATTTTTCATCAAGAAATTCTTGCAGATGCTTTAAAGCAAATTAGTATGGCATTGCGACATATCTTATTAAATGGATTAATATTTATCGTGATGATTATACTATCTACTGCACAATTTACGACTAATACTACTGAAATTAATAACAAGGTTTTCAATGTCAGTCGTTTTAAACCATTGCGTTATGATGTCAAAATAAAATTTGACGTATACAATAATGTCTTTTTTGGAGAATGCATTATCGCTATCGAGATTTATCGTCAGACAAAAACGTTAATTATGAACTTAGAGACTACGGCCATAATTAAAGTTGACCTGATGGACCACTATAATAATCTGACAATCAACATCCAGAAATTTTCATTTATCAATAAAACGTACATTCATCTTCATTTGAACCAATCATCAATAGAGTTTTTATCTCCTGGTACGTATTCCTTAAAAATGATATATGTCCGTACTATATATAATGACGAAGATTTTTTCGAATCCTACAATGCAGATAAAGCAGAAGTGTAAGTAAATATAATCAATTTTTATTCCAATTATGATTAAAATTTTATATTAACCATACATTTAAAATAAAATAGACTAAACTACAAAGGCATTAAATTAATAAGAGCACAAGAACTATTTCCATGTTGGATCAAGTCAAAATTTAAATCAATTTTTAACATTTCCATCAAGCATCATCAAATCTATACATTTTTCTCGAATGTGCCAATGCGAAAACAAGTACAAAGTATAAATAACATGTTGTGGACTCACTTTAACGAATCACCTTCTATGTCCGCTAAAGATTTAACAATTGGTATAACTGCATCAACTTATTCCTTAATTTCTGCTAAAAATCTCAAATTTTGGCATAGAAAAGAAATCAGAGATCAGGTGCATTTTGTAAAAGACATTACGCAAAAAGTCATATATTATTTGCAACAAAAGAGTACAATCAAAATACGAAATGTAGATTGCTATATAGTTAAGGGCCTTCAACACAGTTACATAAGAATTTTGAACACAGTAAAGTCATGGGGATTCATTTTATTAAGGTAATATTCGTAAATACAAGATAAAATAAAACCAAACTGAATAAATATATTTATTTATAATATTCCAAAACTAAAAAAATACATTTTAATGTCAGTATGTTTATTAATAGATAACAAAACATATATTACTTGCGTCACTTTTTGATAAAAGATTCTTATTTTTATTTTAAACAAAAAATTAAAAGAATTATTCTTTACGTTAAATAAGATTTCAATTCATATTTCATTATTAAAAGTATGAAAAACAACTGCCTTTTATGTTGTACAAGTAAAACGTGTGTTATAAAATCGTGTCCTTTTCACCAATAATATTGATAAAGTCATCAAAATTCTTATTACTTCAAATCTTATGTACATTATCGCACGTAATATTGCTGATGAAAAAATGTTCAAAATACTTTTCTTACTTCCTTTTTATATAAATTCTATGCGAATATGTAAGTAAACAGTTATTACCATGTCTCGTTAACAATATAATATATATAGTTTATTAAAAATATATAAAACACAAGGTTGTTAACATTTATTTTTTTGTCAAATTCGGATTCAATTTTGTTACTAATTTATATTTAAATTTAGTTTTAACTAAATATAATTAAACGTTTATTTGTGTGTTTGTAATAACTTTTATCTACTATAACGACGACACAAAAATTTATTAAATTGCAAAATTATATTAAAATTTTGAGAATATTTCTAATATTTGAAAACAATTTTCAGGGAAGAAGATATTATTTATAATGAGACATTAAATCAAAATGTCCGCAAAACAGAAGTGGCAAACTTAATAGCATGTGCAACGGTATCTCTTTGGTACGACGATGCGATTCTG